AAAATGTTACCAAAAAGTTGTTTGGTAGACTAACATATTCCCGAAAATATTGAGCTAATTTTCTTGATACTGTATTTAATTGTATTAAATTTTCCCTTGCCATAGAAATATTAAAATATCACCTTTTGAATGGTATTCCTAGATGGTTTTTTAAAAAAAAATTACACATAAAATAAAATTCCAGGAAAATTGAATTCTTGGAAATTTTTTGAAAATCTTGTACCAAACATGGATAAGTAAGTTTACCACTTTCAATTTCCCAAAAATTCAAAAATAATCCTCGAAACAAACGGCCCCTAAAGGCGCACTTAAGTGGGTTGAAGCACATGTCATCATTTAGATATGTGCTAAGACTTAAGAGAGGTCGTCCACATGGTTTCTATAATTAGATGTCTTTGTTATCATGTCATCGATGTAGACTTTGACAATTTCACCAATTTTGACCACGAGAGTGAAATTGGTGTATTGATTGGCTTGGCGTCTTGCACAGAGGCTCTCCTTAAAAGATCATGTACACAATTGTGAAAGTCTGAAATGGATCATCTTATATTTTATTGGGAGAATCTTAACCATAAAAAGATAAATTAGTGATATTTTGTAACTATCTATTCTAATATTTTTTCTCTCTTTCTTTATTATTATTGATCCTCCTTTGTATAGTTATGATTCTCCCATATAATATTAGCATGTTAAATAACATAGAAGAAGATCCACTCCCGCGAAAATCCCTCTTAAAATGCATTCATTTTTAGCATATTTGAACTTATTTATTGTAATGATCAATAATGCTTTTGAAGTATTTTGACGAGCTTAACAAAATATTTTTGAAACTCAAATAAGTTGTTTTGAACTTATTTTCTTCATAAGATAAAAATTGAAATGTATGGGAATAAGTCGTTGCCAAAACTCAAGCACGTTTTTCACGTTGTCATATAAATTGGGGGTGGTAAAAATAATTTAAAAGATGGGTCCCAAGATTTCTGGGAGTGGTAATTGGTGTATAAGAAAATAATAAATGAGAAAGAATATAAGGCTTTTCAATTCCCGCATGCCTCAACTGTGTTCAACACAAAACCTCCACCCCCATTAAGCACCTCCTTCTGTTGCTCAAATAAACTATTCAACAAATTTTATCTCACGTGTCCAGAAAAGTTCAATATTTATTTATGGTTTTCCCCGAATTGCGGTTCTGTTACACTGGAAGACTCAAAATAATAAATAAATAAATAAATGAAGATGTGAACATTCAGTCAAATTCACCTGTTATAGGAGCTATTCTGTTTTCTCTTCAATTGTTGGGAAAGTAGCGTGCCCCTGTAATCATAATATAATCACACTGAACTAACTATATAAGTTGGAGAATTTGGAAAAAAAAATAAAAAATAAAGTGAATAACCATATTTTAAATTAATTAATTCATTTCAATTTTGTTATAGCAGTAAATGGAAGAGACATTTGTATAAGGATGTTTTTAACCTATTAGTAATTATGACAATATTTTGTATTAAAAATAAATAAATTTTAATTGTTAAAATAACTTTAGGTAGAAAGATGAAAAATGTTAAACTGTTGAATAAGGCAACTATTTTGTATTTTTTATTTTTGAAAAATAAAATTTAAATTAAAAATTATACGGACAATGAAGAAATTGTTACGTACATTAATAACTTCGTACAAATAACGTGATTAACAATTTTCCTTTAGCATATGGACGGAATCGTATATATTCGTAAATTTTGAAAAATATTTGGGCAAAATTATTGAAGCAACAGCACCATTTTATGACATTGGTGCAACATATATACCTAACATTTAATGGGGAAAAATTAATTGTGTAAAATTTATTTCTGTACTCTTATATAAGTTTAGTCATATTTAAATTCAATTTAACAATTTAATTAATATAACTAATTTAAGGAAAAACAGAGACATCCCCAATGAATATTGCCCCGAAAGGGTAGACCCTACCCACAAAGTGTGACTGTTGTGGTTCGACCCAGCAACACAGGCCCAGCAACTATTTTCTCAAGAGTTATATATTTATTTTATTTTTCTATTTATTTTTATCAGGATTCTATTGCAACAAACAAGGGTTACATGTTATGATGAATGTGTACCGAAGAGAGAGTATGAGAAAATTGGGGAAATTCTTTCCTTTTTTTTTGTGATTTCTTCTCATTCTTTCATCTATTTCCTATTTATTTTAAGGAAAATGATTCGTTTATAAAAACATTTATAAATTTTTATAAATTACAGTATGTATTCTCGAAAGTATATAGTGTAACCTAGTATACTTTTAGGAATACATCGTTTAATTTGTAAAAATTTGTAAATATAACTCTCCCTTCCTCTACAGAATTGCTACATGGACCCACCATTTTTTTTCCTTCCATAAAACACTGTTCCTGATTTAACTTACAATTATGGGCAGAAAAAATATTATGCCACAAAGTCATAAATTGGAGTGGCACCATCATACACTTTTTTCTTTTGTTATTTTTGCTTTCTCTTTATATGTTTTTGTTTCTGTGGCAGTGAATATATTTTTTTATCTTTAAAACAGAAATGATATTCCCTACAAGAAATGATATTCCCTACAATTATATTGTAAAACCTAATATTTTTTTTAATTTCTCTCGATTCATTAATTATTCATTTAATTTGGTTTGAATTGGTAGGATACGGTAAAGTTTTTCTTAAGTTTTTAATATAACGGCTCGAACTTGAGGTCTCAAATGTATGGACACGTTGTTTGAAAAAAAAAAAATGAGTTGCGGACACTACACGTTTTGACACATTTTCAAAACGCAGTTAATGTTTTTTTGACACATTTTTATTTTATATTCAAATTTTATTTTATTTTATCTTTTAAATTAAACATGAAAAATTAATTTATAAATCAAATATTTTCTATTATGAAATTTGATTTGAAAAATTAATAAAGCATAAATTTTTTTTTTTTTATTTATGTTATGAAATTTGAATATTCCATTTTTTACATGACTTATTATGAGCTGCTATATATATTAAATATAAATTATATTATATATGTTAAAAATATTATTTATTATCAAAACGTGTCATAATGTGTTAGAATTTAATATTTTTTAGAATTAACGTATCAGCGTATCGTGTTTCGTGTTGGTGTCAATGTAACATAGCTTGAGGTTATTAATTAAATTAAAATAAATTTGATTAAATTAACTTACGTGGTTGATGGTTATAAAACTGAATGTGAAGTACGTGCTACAAAAACAGCCTTTTCAATTAAAAAAAATGGATCGAATTTAATTATTTTTTATATTATCTTCTTATTGATTTTGTTTAAAATATAAAACATATCAACGTTTGTACAATTATAAATTTATCAAAATGCAACAAATATAATTTTAAAATAATTCATTAAAATTCATCAAACTAACTTTCGATCTTACAATACTAAATTATGAAATATAAAAGAAAATTAAATTTAACTTAGAATATAAAAGTTAGATTCTTGAATAAGGAAAAAAGTTATATTTATAAATTTTTTGTTTACAAACTACACTATGTATTAGGGTAGTACATTTTAGCACACAGTGTACTACCAACTAATATATAGTGTAGTTCATAAGAATTTATAAAAAAAAAATTGTAAATATAACCCTTCTCAATAAATATGAATAATATAATAATTTTTTAGGTAGCTTTTTTATTTAGACTCAATTGAATGGATTTTATTGATTTTTAAAATTAGAATCTAAAATCAATTCAATCTGATTATTTTTTATTTTTTATTTCATTCGAACTTTTAATGGTTTTGATCAAATTGATTTTTGTTTTAAACATCCTTAAGTATGATCATTAAAAATAACTGAAGTTCAAATAACACCTTGTCGTTTTTTTCTATTAACGTTAGTCATATAGATATTATTGACCGGTAATGGTAATGAATAAAAAAAAAAGACAGAGAAAAAAAAAACTAAATGATAATTATAATTATGTGTAAAATTTCTACAAGTAAATGCTGATATTATTTTTGTTTTTGATGTGAAAAGGGTCAAAGAAGGTAGTATTTTATTTATTTATTTTTTGGATAACTGATCTTAATTATCTCTTTGAAATAAATCAGATCCCGATATTATCACACATTCAACTCTTTAGGCCTATAGGACTAAGCTCGGGATCATGATGTGAGATTAGTAAATAAGCGAATACCGAAAGAAAAAAATTCAATAACAACAAAAAGTCTCTTATGACTTGACAACTACTAAAATATCTTTAGAAGGTTAAATAATATACCAGTACCTCACCAACTTATGTTGTAATAAAAATTGAAAACAAATTTGAAAAATGGACAAGAGCAATCACATGATGCCAAGTCTCTTAAAAGAAAGAAAATAAATAGAAAAAAACGATGGTACAATGACATGCTGTCCTCAATCACCTCAACAAAGAATTTAGAAAACCCAGACGCCACACGTGGTATATTAAAATAACTCACATTATGGACATTGACTTCTCTCTCCATACCCGATAAATTATACTATTGGTAAAATTAAATGTTGATTCTATATGAAATTTTATATAACAATAAAAAAATATTTTTAAAAATATCAAAAGAACATATGTCGTACCTGCCAATAATAACTATGCCAGACCTTGACAACATTTTTTCCTTTGATATGAACTAACCAAGCTCTACAATCCTAGAAGATGAGGAGACTCAGAAGCAGAAAATGGCAACGTCTCACTAAAATATTATTTTCTCAACCATCTTATATATCGACTTTCTCAATCAACGGTACACGGATTACTAGAAACAATGGGATATGCAACAAGTTGAATGTTGTTAAAAAATTTGCTTGCTGCCTAGTATTGATGATTAGTTTATGTACTACTACGTTCTTCAAAGCAGGAGACTCCTCTGGAATAGTTTACTGCTATTATTTAATTGAGAGGAAAGGGATGGAGGTGGTACTGGTAAGGGAGAATTAAAAAAATATTGCATCTCGTACAAAATAATAAAAGAAATGATATCTATTGTATAAAATTTCCTTCAGTAGTAGTACTCATTTATTACATTAAAACAGGTCAACAAATAAGGATTTTTAGCTAGCTAAAGACAATATCGAGGCATTAGGCTCTAACTTGCCATAATACCTGATCAAATAAAAGTAACATAAAAGAGACAACAGCAACAGAAATCTAAACTATTAAGAATAGAGCATGATAATAAAAGAGGATAGGGAATTCTCTCTGAAAGACCAACAAATTCATCCTTAGGCAGCAGCTACAGATTGTGCTTTTACCTTTAAGCCACTGCAGGCATGTCCTTGAGCCATGAATCTAGTGGTTTGCCAATGGAATAAACTATAAAACCAATTTCCCTCAGCTTGTTAACATCCACAACATTTCGGCCATCAAATACAAATGCAGGCTTCTGCATGCTTTCATAAACTTTTTGGTAATCAAGCTTCTTGAACTCGTCCCATTCAGTCAGAATACAAATACCATGTGCATCCTTTATTGCCTCATAGGCATCCCAAACCACAGATACTTGCTTGTTGGAAGTAGGGCTTGATGGTTGAAGATGAGCAGGATGATCCCAATCAAACTTCTTCATTGATAGATCCCTTAAGATTTGATCTTCAGAAACCTGAGGATCATATATGCTCAACCTAGCCTTGTCTCCCACCAGCCCCTTGCACACATCAATGGCTGGGGTCTCCCTAGTGTCACCAGTGTCCTTCTTGAAAGCAAAACCCAAAACAGCAATTTTCTTCCCTGAGACTGTGTTGAACATTGAAGAAACCACTCGGTTCACAAACCGATTTTTCTGGTAGTCATTCACCTTAATGACCTGTTTCCAGTAATTAGCTACCTCTGGAAGGCCATTGCACTCACAGATATAGACCAAGTTCAGTATGTCCTTCTGAAAGCAAGAGCCACCAAAACCAACACTGGCATTCAAGAACTTGGGTCCAATTCTTGAGTCAGTGCCAATTGAGTGGGATACCTGGGAGACATCAGCACCAGTTGCCTCACAGAGTGCTGACATGGCATTCACAGAGGAGATCCTCTGAGCCAGAAAAGCATTGGCGGCAAGCTTTGAGAGTTCAGCAGACCACAAATTGGTGCAAAGGATTCTTTCTATAGGGACCCAATGGGCATAAACATCTCTCAGAGTATGAATAGCCTTTTGACCTTCTGGGGTCTCCCTGCCTCCAATAAGGACTCGATCAGGATCAAAAAGGTCTGCAATAGCTGTTCCCTCAGCAAGAAATTCTGGGTTAGACAGAATTGTGAAATTGATGCCTTTCCTATTGTGAGTCAGAATCCTCTCAATTGCCTCAGCTGTTTTAACAGGCACAGTTGATTTCTCAACCACGATCTTGTCAGATTTCGATACATCAGCAATCATCCTGGCAGCACTCTCCCAATAAGTCAGATCAGCTGCTTTGCCAGCTCCAAGCCCCTGAGTTTTTGTAGGGGTGTTCACCGAGACAAAAACTATGTCAGCCTCAGCAACATGTTTCTCCACATCAGTGCTGAAGAAAAGATTCCTTCCCCTGCACTCCTTCACCACATCATCAAGGCCAGGCTCATAGATCGGGAGGTGATCACTGTTCCAGGCATTGATTCGCGGCGAAGCAATATCCACCACAGCTACCTCGATCTCAGGACATTTCAATGCAATCACAGCCATGGTTGGGCCACCAACGTAGCCAGCTCCAATGCAGCAAATCTTCACCATTGTTTATTTGTTCTCAGCAGCCTGTATGACATCAAATGCCCAAACTCAAAACAACAACACAGAAGAATTGCAAATTCACTCTCAAATTGTTCATCTCCAGTTAACAAGGTAACCATATATTACGATCCAAAGTTAAATAATTAAAAGACAAAACAACAAAATAAATCCAATAATATCCACAGATATAATATAACATTGCAGAAGACGAAAATTTTGACTAAATCATGAGCATAACAATTATAGGAAGAACGAGATCTATAATTTTTAAGTGAATCAATCACAAAAGGAATTCCAGATCCAGACGATATTGGCAAAGAAAATGTAAATGGTCAAATAAAAATTATTGAAATATTCAGTTCAATCATCGTCCCTGGTTTCTACACACACGCACACGCACACGCACACAAGAAACAAGAGACAAATTATGGAATCCGAATCTCCAAATAATATATATTCACTTATCAGATCTAACAACAATTAAACACAAAAACAGCCAACACGAGAGATCCATCCATAATTCACAAACAAACAAATCCAAACAATCATACCCAAATTATAAAAAAATTAAAAAAGATTGCATTTGAGACCGAAACAAGAATACCCAGAAGGCAAAATCGAAAGGCAACGAGGAATCGCAAAATGGGTAGGAAGAAAAAGACTCACTTGTCTTCCAGAAAAGCAAATCAGAGAGGAGAGCAAGAGAAGAAAATGAAGCAGATTGTTGGAATAGATGGAAATTACCTTCTTGGTAGAGGTTGAGATGGAAAGAAGGAAGAGAGATCTGAGAGGTTAGAAGAATTCAGAGGTGAAAACGGAATGGGAAGGAACGAAGACGCGTCACAATTTATATAGAATTTGAAAGAGTAAGAGAGAGAGAAATAGAGAGTCACGACGTAGCAAAAGCATTTAGAAACCCAGTTAGTCACCACTCATAGACCATAGTTTCCGTAACAAAAGCAATACTAGTAGTTTTTTGCCCAACACGTTTTTCCTTTTCTCATTTTCTTCATCTTACGCTAACCCTCACCTCCTAATTATGTCATTAACACATATCTTCAGCTTAAATTCTTCTATAACTTTAACGCATATATTATTAAATATTAACTATTGGTATGTGAAAAGGATATCTTATATTATAAGTATAATTAATTCATTCATACACCATAATTCATTTTCGGCTTATTTAACTGATCAATTTATTACATTTTTTTGGGTCCTCCTAATTAAATATGACAAAAGGGATGGGATTGATTGTATGTTGAATCTCTTCTTTTTATTAGGCAAGTTATTTGAGTTTTCTATGCATGTTGTGGCAGGTCGGACCTGTCTATGTACATGTTGACAACTTAATTGAATTAGATTGGTTTGGGAGAAAAGTCATTTAATATAATTTTATTGATTTAGTTTGATTTAAAATTGAAAGTCCATATTTACCAACAACAAAAAATTGAAAGTCCATATAATCTATAAGTAATTTGAATTGAATATTTTTTATTTTTGCTATTGTTTTAAGGGATATGATAGAATATTGTGTCTATCTTTTTTTATGCCTACTTTATATATTTTTTATCAACAATGATATATCAGAATCTCAACAGGAGAAAGAAAATGTGAATGTTAGTTGAGATTCTGATCTAAAGATATTATAGAGGAGTAGGTATGAAAAAAAAGATAGATATAGGACATGTTTGAATTCTGTTTTTAAAAACAGTTTTTTATTTTGCAGAACAAAAAAAACAAACAAACAAATGTTCGATGATGCATGTTTTGTAAAAATAATCCTAAAAATTATAATTATTTTTTAGTTTTTAGAATCAGATTTAAAAAATATTTCAGTTGATTCTGTTTTGTGTTTTGATTTTTAACTTTCTAAACAAAAAAAAATTCAATTTCATTTACTACTCTACGAAATAGTTTGAACAAAAAAAGAAGAATACAATTAAACAGGTCCATAACATCATATTCCTTGTTTTTGTTTTGTGTTTTGATTTTTAACTTAAAAAAAATAAAAAAAAATAAAGACTTCTTTTATTATCTATTCTACAAAATAGTTTTAAGAAAGAAAAAAAAAAGCATAATAGAATTAAACATCCCCTAAGTCAAAAAAAAAAAAAAAATTGTTTTGTTTTCTAGTAGGAACTTAGAGTATCAATAATTAGTATAAGATCTTCACATTCTAGTAATTTTTTCTACAGGACTTTATGTTTATTATTATTATATAAATTACTTTATTACCTTTATTGTTTTTAGTAATAGCAATCTCAATTATTAGTTTTAGGGGTTGTATTTGAAAAACAAGGTAATTGGAGAAGATTGTACGAGAATACTTTCATGTTATTAAAAAATTGGGAAAAAGTATTTAATGTTATTTTAGGTAACTTTGTCTAATGTTCACCGAAACGACGTCATTTTGGGATTGAAAAATTAAAAAAATTAGAATAATAAAAATTATTATAATATTGAAATAAATTAAAATTATAAATATATCATAATTTTCGGGTCGTTTTGGGTATAAAAAAGAGTAAAGGATTTCTCCGGTCAATGGAGATAAAGTTATCTCCAGTAGCTCAAAATGATATCGAAAATCAAGGTATTTTTGTAATTCTATTATATTGCATGGTTATATTAGTCTTTATCATTATAATTTTTTAATCTTATAACCCAAAATGACGTCGCTTTGAGCTCACTGGAGATAAAGTTATATCCAGTGGAGAAATACTTTTTCCATAAAAAAAAACACTATAACGAGCGATTTCATTACAGAATTGATATTTAGTGCTAAACTTATAACATTTAATTTTGTAAATTTAATAAAAGTATATTTGGATCATGGAAAGTACAGTACATTATAGAAAATAAAAAAATACATAAGTAAGCAAATCTTCCAGGAAATCTAAAAATGAGTTTTAATAAATCCATATCGTATATGATCAAAATCAAAACCATTTACCCTGTAATCAACGGCTATAAATTATATTGATCCACTAAAAGCAATGTCAATTATATCAATTATTTTCCTATCAATTCTCTCTTTCTATGAATTTAGTATTTTTTTATTTTTATTCTTCGTGAGTTCTTCCACTATTAACAAATCCTATTAATTTTTTGGGTTATACAAATTCCGTTTATTAATTTGTTAACTATTGTGAAATAAATATGATTTTTTTACTTTTTTATTATTCTTTGTTTCAAATCTTGGGAGAACAAAGAGTTTTGGTTCGCCGACAAAAACTGCACAATAACAGCAACTATGGAATTAGTGTATCGTGCGGCTTTCCACCTCTCTCGGACAAGGTTAACAAAATGGATTTAATTAACAAAATGATTTATTTAATTACTATCGAAATGGAAATTGGGATTGAAACTTGATCCATATTTTTTCCTAGCTTTTTGACCCAAGTAAAGCAAAATTAGCTTATATTCATCAGTTTAATTTATTTGGTAAACGATTTACCAATTTATTGTGAAAAGATATGCACTCTAGCAGAAAATGTTCAAGTCGCGCATTACTCTCGTGCATTTGTATCCAATACATGTATGTCACATGTTGGGCTTAGTAAAATGTGTTTCACTCTCATGTATATTCAAGTCGTGCATTTTCTCATAGGCATTTTGCATACACAACATGTGATGGCGTGGCGTTAAACGTGTTAACTTTTGCTTATTTTATGAAAATGAATTAGACAATGCACGCCCTGAATGTCCACAGAGTGTGTCTTTTTGTATTGGATTGATAAATTAATGACAAAAAAAAAATTAAACTAATAAATACATACACAATTCGACTTAAATAGGGTAAAAAGCTAAATTTATGCGACGACTAGATATAAAGGATATATACACTTGGTTGAATCAAAAACTAAATCATATTTTTACCAAAAAAAACTAAATCATATTTAATGAATGTTTAATATATATATATATATAGGAAAAAATATTTCTACAGTCACTTTAGATAAGGTTATCTACGACCACCATTTTTAACTATGTTCTCCCGGGAGAACATAGTTATAACATTAAAGTTGCTTTTTCTCTCTCTCCACGTCAGCAAACAGGTTCTGAAAAGTAACTAAGGAGAAAGAAAAAAAAACAACTTTACTGTTATAACTGTTGAGATATATAGTCACATTGGTTGTATGAGCAACTAATGTGAAGTTTATAAGGTCTTGGGCACTCCCACCCTTTGAGCTAGCCTCGTCGTCCCCCACTTTCTCTTGAGGAGTTTCTTAGCATAGGTAGGCTGGGCCTGTTGCATTGTCCACTCTTCAAGCCCAATGGGCTCTTGTGTGAGGGGGCGTGTTGAGATATATAGTCTCACATTGGTTGTATGAGAACCCAATGTGGAGTTTATAAGGTCTTGGGCACTACCATCCTTTGAGCTAGCTTTTGGAGTGTTGTATCCCAAGGTTCTTTACATGGTATCAGAGCCTCGCCGCCCCCCACTTTCTCTTGTGGAATTTCTTAGCACAGGTAGGCTTGGCATGTTGCATCATCCACTCTTCAAGCCTAATGGGCTCTCGTGTGAGGGGGCGTGTTGAGATATATAGTCCCACATTGGTTGTATGTGCAACTAATGTGGAGTTTATAAGGTCTTGGGCACTCCCACCTTTTGAACTAGCTTTTGGGGTGGTGTATCCCAAGGTTCTTGACATGGTATCAGAGTCTCGACGTCCCCTACTTTCTCTTGTGGAGTTTCTTAGCACAGGTAGGCTGGGCCTGTTGCATTGTCCACTCTTCAAGCCCAATGAGCTCTTGTGTGAGGGGGCGTGTTGAGATATATAATCTCACATTGGTTGTATGAGCAACTAATGTGGAGTTTATAAGGTCTTAGACACTCCCACCCTTTGAGCTAGCTTTTGAGTTAGTGTATCCGAAGATTCTTTCCATTTTATATATATATATATATATATATATATATATATATATATATATTTTAAATTACATTTTTTTTTTCGTGAGAGATTTTATTTAATATTTTAATTCATTATAAAGTATAGTAAGTTACCTATTAGTGTTTAAAAAAAAAGTACTAAAATCAAACATATTAATATATTATATTAGTCCATATTATTTTATTATAAAACTTAGGAAAATATTCTCTTATGTTTTAGGAGAGTTTTTTTCTCTTTTACATATATATCGATTTTCGTGTTACTTTTTTTTCTATAAGTGAATAGGTCTCACAAATGATTGTTTCTATAGCATGAGAGAGTTTCTTCCTATTACATGAGATTAATGAAACCCTAAAACTTAACTATCTATTACGTTTTATAAAAAGAATAACCCAATACTGAAGTGAGTCTTTCAAGAAATTTAGAGAAAATTCAATTGATATAAAAAAGGAGAAAAAAGTGAAAATTTTGATAAAGTATATTGTATAATTTGTATCAAAGCTTTTATCAAATTAGTTGCCGTTTAATGTAATTACCTTTTTCGTACTCAAAATTTTATATATATGAATTCTTTTCTAAACAAAATGTGCATTATATTTTCCACTTTACGTAATTTCATAGGTATGCGTATAATGATCATTGGTTGGAATCTAGTGCATGGATGCATGTACCTAGACCTATTTATGTCAACCTTCGATAAAGAAATATCCGTTGCTCTCAAATCTAACAAAAAAGAATGTATACAAATATTCAAAACGAAGTTGAGGAAGCTTTTATTTGTTTCTTTTTCTCCAACTGTTGGGAAGCTTTGAACTTCAGGAAAGTCAGTATATCACATGGACAGAGGAAATGAGTAACGTGGAAGGTTATTTTTCACAACAAATTAATAATATTGTTTTGCGGTTTTGAAAAAAAAATGAAAATACACGAATTTAAAAAAAAAGTAATTTTAAGATATAAATAAAGTTTTACGTTATTTTGAAATTGCAAAAAATAATTTTATCATGATATAAGAAATACTTTATATATATATATATATATATATATATATATATATATATATAGAGAGAGAGAGAGAGAGAGAGAGAGAGAGGTAAAATCATTTTTCCAGCCACTTCACATCTAGCAATGACAGATGTATAGTTATAATTCCTTACATTTAATATTGTCATATGTATATATATATGGTAAATAATTAACTGTTGAATGTCAAGCTGCTAGAGAAATGTAAATCTTATATATATATGGAAAAACGAATTTTTATGTTGTAGGAGAGTCCTCTTCTCATGTTAGTGAGAGTTCGTTTTATGTGTAATGATTTTTTTTGTTTTCTTTATTTTTTATCTGTGGGCTCCACCATGAATTTGAGTATGTAGGAAACTTTTCTCCTCTCAAATAACATGAGAAAAACCTTGCCCTATATATATAGGGGGAAATATTTCTCCAGCAACTTGAGATAATTTATCTCTGGCCACCCTAAAATTTCATCATTTTATTTATTTATTTTCTTATATTAATTGATTCACCTTTGAATGATTGTGATTCCCTTTTTCTATCTCTTCCTTTATCACCATTGATCCATCTTTGTACGATTATGATTTAGTAACCGGAGATAAAATTATCCCAAACAGCTCGAGAAATGATAAGCCCATATATATACATATATATATATATATATATAGGTAAATCTTTCCCAACAAAATATTTTCCTACGAGACTATTTGAGCCTAAAAGTATTAATATATATATATATATATAGGGACAAGATATACTTACAACCATAAAAGTTTACAACATTTACAAACAATCTAATCACCATTGATTTCCGTCAATCTAACGATTATCATTTATTTAAATTTAATAATTAATTAATAAATGCGACCCAATAATTTCCAATAAATGATAACCGTTAGAGTGACGGAAATTAACAGTGATTAGATTGACTGCAAAGGTTGAAAACTTTTTTGGGGGTAAGTATATCCTTCCCCATATAGGGCTTATCGTTTCTCAAGCTGCTTGAGATAATTTTATCTCCGGCTACTAAATCATAACCGTACAAAGATGAATCAATGGTGATAAAGGAAGAGAGAGGAAACGAGAATCATAATTTTTATTATATATATATATATATATATATATATATATATATATATATATATATATATAACAATAACAGATGTATTGTTATAATTTTCACATTTAATGATTTCATCTACGTAAAACGGCTGTAAAAAAATCGAATGAACACAATATATATATGGGCTTATCGTTTCTCAAGCTGCTTGAGATAATTTTATTTCCTTATTAATTGACTCACCTTTGAATGATTATGATTTCCTTTTTCTCTCTCTTCCTTCATTACCATTGATAAATCTTTGTACGGTTATGTTTAGTAGCCGGAGATAACATTATCTCAAGCAGCTTGAGAAATGATAAGCCCATATATATATATATATATATATATATATATATATTGATTCAAGTTACAAGAGCTCAGTTTCTTTTTAAGTAAAATATCGGGTTCGAGGACAAGATAGACTTTATCTAGAAGAGTTTTATCCCCTTTATGCATTTAAATCGACTCGACCCAAAGTTAATCAGGATTTAAAGTAATTTTTGAAATTTAGGAGTTTAGACCAAAAAAAAATTATAAAAGTAATGATAACGTGTAGTTGTAATCAGTGTTTTAAAATTCCGTCTCATTCGGGGTCGACCCCTTCAGTATGGGAGTAAATAGGTTAAGGCAGCAACAACTACTAATGTAAGGGCACATAAAGAGAAAAGGGACGTTACACTTGTAGAAACCGCAACCAACTTTCAATTGACTGATGACATCATACCTAGCCATAACCCTCCCATTAAGGAGGATGTGTCAAAGAATGCTACTCTTATTCAAAACTTGGCTGAGTCAGCATAAGATGCAGTTCAAAAACAATCCACGTCAGGTAACACTGGAACAGTAGAAGCAACTACTAACTCTCACTTGGAGACGGTAAAATACATGCAGGAAGATGCAATGGAAGTAGTGAGAGGGGATGATGAGGGTGACAAAACACAGAAAATTACTTATGGTGCGCAGCAACATCTAGCTTCTCTGCCTAAATCACCAGACCCAAATGAGGATATAATGGAACTGAGGAGTACACAAGATGAAGAGATGCCATCGGCGGAGCTGCCTAACGAAAATGAAACTGTGGATTCAGGGAATGCAGGTACCCAGGTCTACTGCACACCAGGATACATAGTTTAATGTCAATCCTATGTTGGAATTGTCGGGGTGCAGCTAAGCCATGCTTAGCAAGAACCCTCAAAATTTTTGTAAATAAGTATAGAATCAAAATGGTTGGTTTGTTGGAAACGAGAACCCCAAGCACTCGTGCTCATAAGTTGGCTAAAAGGATTGGATTTGATAGACATATATTCCAGGAAGTCGAGGGTTTTTCAGGTGGTATATGGTTACTATGGGAATCTCAATCTTTACAGGTTAGGCTGCTAAAGAAAGACAACCAGTATGTCCATATTGAGGTAGCCACAAAAGGAGGTAAAGTGTCTTTGATTACATTTGTTTATGCTAGCCCAAGGGATTCCATTAAGGCCTTCCTGTGGGATGAGTTACGTAATATTAGCCAAGGAATAAACAAACCTTGATTAATATTAGGTGACTTCAATGACATAGCTAGCATACGTGAAAAAAAAGGTGGCTCAAGAGTTGACCAAACTAAATGTGAAAGGTTTGCTTCCTTCCTAAACGATCTTCAGGTGTTAGATTTGGGAGGGGAGGGTCCCTTCTTCACGTGGCAAGGACAAAAATGGGCACACCTAGATCGAGTTTACAAACGATTAGACCGTGCGTGTGCTAACCATATATGGAGGGAAACTTTTGATGATGTTCATGTTCACATTCTTCCCCGTATTAAGTCTGATCATAATCCTTTGTTGGTATCAGTGGATAGGTTGCAAGTAATGAGAGGTCCAAAACCATTCAGATTTATGGTGTCATGGCAAGAACATCCAGATTTTTGTAGATTTTTGAAAGATAATTGGGACCAAAATCGGCAGCTTGAAGTCATGCTCCATGATATAATTCCACCATTACAGGATTGGAATAGAAATATTTTTGGTCATATAGGCAAAAGGAAAGAGGGATTGATGGCTAGAATAAAGAGAATTCAGCAACAACGGGAAACACATGACTCTATATGGCTACAAAGTCAAGAGGAATGTGTGCAGCAACAGCTTACTATCACCATGGAGCAAGAAGAAATGCTTTGGTTTCAGAAATCAAGACAAAATTGGATTGTGGATGGTGATAGAAACATAAGGTTTTATCATCTGAAAGCAGTCATAAGAAGAAGCCAAAACAAGATCTTGAGACTCAAAAGTGAGAGTAATCAGTGGATCACGAATGAGCATCAACTGCAAGAAATGGGAATCCAATTTTATACTAAGCTTTTCACTAATGATAGTAAGGAGCGCAAATGGTTTGATTCCAAAAGGCTTTGGCCGAATTGACACTTCATAATTCCTACTGCTCCACTTACAAGACTTGGGACTCGACGAGCAATTTTTGAAATGGGGAACTTCAAAGCTCCAGGATTTGATGGATTCAACGCTTTTTTCTACAAAAGAAACTGGTATCATGTTGGTGAACAAGTGCATAATTTCATTACTCGGGTTAGGAACCATCCTGAAGAAATTAGAAAGGTGAGTACTATTCAAATGGTCTTGATTCCAAAGGTCCTACCACCTACATATATGTCCCATTTTAGACCCATCTCCCTTTGTTCGGTGGTATACAAAGCTATCAGTAAGTTATTGATGAATAGGTTGTGACCCCTTATGGAACATGTCATCTCCCTTTATCAAGCAAGCTTTGTACCGGGAGGACACATACAAGACAATATTATAGTGACCCAAGAGCTAGTGCATTGCATGAACAAAATGAGGGGAAAGATAGCGTACATGGCAATAAAGATCGATTTAGAAAAAGCATATGATCGAATAAAATGGGACTTCATAAAGTGCACGCTAGAAGAAATCAATCTACCTGCATCTCTAGTGGATCTAATCATGGCAATGGTAACGTCAGCTAACATAGATGTGGTATGGAATGGGAACTTGGCAGGGAGAATCCAACCTTCAAGGGGCTTGCGTCAGGGAGACCCACTATCACCTTATCTATTTGTCTTGTGTATGGACAAACTATCACACTTAATAGCAATGGAAGTGGCTAAGCAAACATGGCGTCCCATAAGAGCTGGACGAGGAGGACCGATGATTTCACATTTAATGTTTGCAGACGACATTATGCTATTTGCAGAAGCAAGTCCAGCCCAACTTGACACCATTCTCAAGTGTTTGAACATTTTTAGTGCAGCATCAGGTCAAAAGGTGAGCATTAACAAAACCAACCTTCTCTTCTCTAAGAATGTTGATGAAACTGTGGCAGCCTCTATTGTCCAACACTGTGGCTTCAAGTGGGTGAATAATATAGGAAGATATTTGGGTGTGTGGATACAACATGGTCGTGCCTCCAAGGATCAATATGCAGTAACAGTAGAGAAGATGCAAGGAAAGCTTCAGGCTTGGCAAGCTAGTTGCCTATCCTTATCAGGTCGGGTAACACTTGCCCAATCTGCGCTAGCAACAATCCCATACTACCAGATGCAATGCACGAAGATACCAGCTAATGTTTGCCAAAACATGGAAAGAATGGTGCGCAACTTCATATGGGGGGACAAAGATAATAAGAAGACTTACCATCCAATAAAGTAGGACATAGTGGCATCTCCGAAAGAAATGGGATGTCTCGGCTTGAAGAAATTGGAAATGATGAATGATGCATTCTTAGGGAAATTGATTTGGCAGTACACACACAAATCAGATGTTTTATGGATAAAGGTGTTAGCATCAAAATATGCAGCCAGCCAGAGGACAAATAGCCTTTTTTTTCTCAAAGAATGGTGACTCACGGCTTTGGAAGAGTATGTGTAGAGTTTGGGAGAAGTTGAAGCCAATGGAGCACTGGACAGTAGGTAATGTGAATACAATAAATTTCTGGAGTGATTCATGGTTGCTAGGGTAGCGCCCACTACAAGATTATTGTGTAGGAACTCTGACACAAGAGGATCAGTGTAGGAAGATTTCTCACTTTCTTCATGAGGATGGAATGTGGAACTTTACTGAGTTGGAAGATTTGTTACCCAATAGCATATTAGATCAAATTCGTAGTTGCCTTCCTCCTCTCCCAGAGGATGGACCAGATAAACTTGGTTGGTGTAATAGCAGCAAAACAGAGGCCACAATCAAGGGTTTCTATAACTGCTTGGATGAAAAGACTTCAACTGTGACACATGTTCCCTAGAAAATTTGGCAAAATTTTTGGAAATGGAAAGGTGCACAACGGATACGGGTCTTTGTATGGAAACTGTTGCATAATAAGATCTTAACTAGAGCCACATGTGCATCTTGGGACAATACTGATCCCTATTGCCCAATCTGTCACACTTATATTGAATCCACCATGCATGCTCTAAGGGATTGTGAGGAGGTTCGAGCACTTTGGCTTAAAATAGACTAGGCCTGTGTAAGAAACACTGGATCTGACCTAGCCTGTTAACCCGTGTAGGCCCTAAATTACAAGTCTGCCCTTAACTATATTTAAAAAAAAGAAGCCTTAGCCTAGGTTTATAGGCCCGACATGTACAAAAAATGTCTATGGCCTGTTTTCTAAATAGATTTTTTTATAATCTAGGTCTGTTCTATTTTACTATTTGTAATAGGCTAAGCCTGACCTAATATAGGCCAGGGACTCCTTATTTCTAAGGGTTCGGGTTAGTAGTTAGACCTTACTTACACGTTGACCCCTCTAACCCCCCGATTAAACCCTTGACTCCCGGGTCAGAGTGGTCAAATGGGCCATTGCATTTAAAAAAAAAATATTATACCCGAAAGGACGTCGTTTGATATGTAAAATAAAATAAAATAAAAACTCTCTGATGCCTAGATTTAGAACTAGATTTGAAATCTGAATCGTTCTTCTTCTTCTCTTCCGATCTTCTCTCCCAGACCCATATCCAGTCTCCTTGTTCCGGTGATCTCCTCCACTATGCTAGTTCTTCTCTCCCCACCGTTAATTTATCGTGTCGTCGTCTCTCCTCCTCTATTCTCTATTAGATAAGAGATCTCATTTCACGTACTGTTGTAGGTGCATTAGAATGACAAGAAGGGCCTGAGTTTGATTATATAACTTTTCATTAACTCCATTGGAATATGTGGTTTATACTTTGATAGTTTGATACTTTGATTAGCTTATGAATATTGACTTGTAGGTGTAATTGGTTAAATTATGCTAAGTATATTTTGAATCTTTAATGATTTGATTTTTTTGAATTTTTCATATAGAATATATATGGGATAGATTATTCTACCTACCTTTTTTTCTGCCTATTTTTGTCTACCACTCTCCGACACCATTAGATCAGAATCTATAGAGGAGAAGAAAGATAAATGTTAATTAAGATTCTGATCTAACGGTGTTGAAGAGTGGTGGACAAAGGTAGGTAGAAAAAAAGTAGGTAAAATAATTTATCCCAATATATACTTATATTTGTTAATGTATAAAATCGGATCAGCGAAGTGACTCTGTGATCCTCCAGTTGAACCCGTGAGTCTGTGACTCCTGACTTCGAACCGAAGCAATGTCATGCCAGGTTTTTAAACAAGGGTTGTAATTAGTTTTGATCAACATTACTCTTGTTTTATAATTTGTTGAGTAGGATGATAATAAAGTCGAACACTTCAATAGTCTTTGTTTTTCATAATTTCATGACATGCATCGTTACCATACCGCTCAATTTTCATAACATATTTATATTGAATAAGAAATTATTGACATTTTAAAATAAACGGACTGACAAAATCTGAGATAAAAAAGAAAAACCTAATATGTGTTCATGTGCACATTTTCCTAATCTTTTGAAGTATCGCAATCGTCCAACAACTCATTAATGCAAATAATCGCAAGATTTTTTTGATACCGGTGTCAAACTTTAAAATTTGACATTAAATTTTAATCGTTAATTTTCGTCAATTAACGATTATCATTTATTGGAAATCAAACTTATTAATTAACTATTAATTCCCAATAAATGATAATCGTTGATTGACGAAAATCAACGGTTAGAATTTGATGTCAAATTTCAAAATTTGATATCGGTGCCAAAGGATTTTATCTCATTTTTTATTAAAATTGAAAAAAAAGCGATTAAGGTGACATTAATCATAAATGGGTTGTTGAAATAAATAAAGTTAGGTGAATTGCATTTTTTATTTTATTTAACAACCGATGTATTAATTAAATCTTCGGTATCACGTACGGGAGTATTAAAAACATTTTCCTCCGCAATGACATTTTCTTCTTTCATGCCACCACATTCTCGTGTGATTCATTAGGTCATTATTTGTTTATAGAAATTGTAACAAATAATATATCATTACTTGTACTAAAAAATAATAATATATATATATATATATATATATATATATATATATATATATCATTACCTTAAGCAACAATCCACCATAATAAACAAGTTAAATATCATATTTCAACTCAAAATTTTAATCCATTAATTAATTTAATGGGTCCACTACAAAAAATGAGGTGATTTGTGGAGGTCATATTTTCATATTGTGGAGGTCTTTGACCCCCACAAAAGACATTTGTGGCATTCACTCAGACCCCCAGTTCTGCCTTCGCCACAATATAGTTTGTGGGGGTTTTTTGTGCAGTGCCACAATTTGTTGAAGTATTTTCTGGAGGTTCAAGACCCCCACAAATATTGCACTTTCTGGAAGTTTAAGACCCCCACAAATGTTGTATTATTTATTGGGATTTAGTAACCTCCACAATATCCCCACAAAATTCATCATTTTCTAGAGGGCATAAACTGCTACAATTTATTTATTATTTTGGCATATTTAAACCTCCACTAAATACTAATTATCCAAATTTGAAAAGTGTGTATATCATAATTTTGTAATTGGTCCTCATCACTTGACTTGTTAGCCAATTCATTATTTATGCTTGCACTTGGTTAATACTTTTTTAAATAAATAAAAGCATAAATATACTCTAACACCCATATACTATAATATGAAGTTGAATTAATGTCTAGCAAAACAAAAACTTACATAATGTTCTCTTATCTAATGAAGGGCATAACAACAATCATAGTAGAATATGTCTCACTATACTTGTACACATTCATAAAAGATGTAAAGTTGATTCAATGTTGTGTCAATGAGAAAGAGTAGCAAATTTACAATTATCCACAACAAAAAACACATAAAATAAATCCATTTTAAAACTCTAAAATTCATATGAATCTCTAATGATGCACTTATCACTTTACAGGACCCAAAACATAGCAAAAATATTGAATTCATATAACCCAATTCAAGGGTGATTACTATCTAATGAAGACCTTCCGCGTGTTGGGATAGCTTCTTCACTCCCTTCATCCTGTAAAAAACCAATTTATTGTACCTTTTTAGCATGCTTAAAAGAATGAGGCACTTAAACTAATAATATAAAGTTTAACATTAATAATAAAAATTATGAAATCATTACCATTGGAGTAGAAGTGGTACCAAACAAAGCATCCAATTCTGGAGGAATCTGTCCTTCCTTCATTCGTATATATGCAAGCATTACAGTCTGTAATGTCTTAAGGCTCTCCTCAGATGCTGCTAACTTAGTTTTCAATGAAATAACCTCTTCTTTTAATTGAGAACTTTCAGCTGAATTCGCACTTGAGAAAGTAGAGCCTATAGGATTGAATCGTCCACTTGTGGGTCCAAATGCAATGCTAGGAAGACCACCTAGGCCTAAACCACGTACACGACCAGAGTGCTCTGGGCCAAAAACTTTTGCAACGGCATCATTTGTTGAAATTTCAGTAGAATTAGTGCTTTGGTTTAATTCTTCATATATCTGATCCTGTACATAAACAGTATTATCATTTTCCATAAGTTCATGCATGTGTCAGTCTTTATTCTAATTTCTAAGGAGATATACTACAATAAAAGCTTAATCTGTAGGAAAAAATAGTCTCTGAAACTGTGAAAAACACTTCAACAAAGTACTGGAAAAAAATTCTAAAGAACAAAAAAAAAAAACTAACTTTTGAGCAATTATCACATACGATATAATACTGAGAAATATAATATGCATTGAAGGCCAATATAGTTAAACCAACATTACAATATAGTAACAAGGAAACTTCTTTACCATAAAGCAAGTGTTGCAATAGATACACTAATATATAGTCCCACGACAGTCATGCATTCTCTACCCTATAATATTCTCTGTAATTTATTGTAATTATTGTAAAATATTTTATTACCATAGATTAGTTATTATTTTAGGCAATTAGTTATTTTAGATAGGTCTATATATTAGAATGAAGCCATATATAATAAAATTAATTCAGAATACTATTAGAATGATTCTCTCTCTAAATGTCTTGTTTTTTTTTTGCTTCAGTCACACCCTAAAATGCTTATTTTTTTAACAAGCATAATGCTTTGTACTTCTCACATTTGATTAACGGAGTATAATTACTTTAGCATCCATAAATAACAAGCATAATAGACACACAAGAAAAAATCCCTACATAAGCACCGTTGGTAACTCGTTGAGATTTCCCAAGAAAATAAACATTCGCCAACTTTGTTTGTTTTTGTTAAACATCTTTTCTAATGAGTATATATTGCAAGTAAATTTCTAAACTTACCACTAAAGTTTTTGCCTCATCATTCGCATACGACCCATCTTTTTTCTTATGAGTTGCAATGTATAGCTCGCCTCGACTCACAGTGTGTCCGGTCTCTTCCTCCTATAACATATAGAAATCATATAAGCACAAATGTCAAATATATTAGATATAGATATAGAGAACACAAGTAATTTACCATCTCATGCCGTCTTCGGGACAAAAGTTTGGAACCCCCCGTGTGTGGAATAGTTTGTTTTTTTCTAATCTCAGCATTCTTCTCACATAATTCCTATGATATCAACAATTTATTAACAAAAAATGCAACTTTAAAAAATAATAACAAGCAACCACTATTTAATAGAATTACCTTATAACTTGGTTTCAAATGATAGTCTACAAATGATGACCATTGATCTTTAGGAACACCAGCAGGGACTTTTGCAATTAGTTGATCTCTAGGAAGGTTTAATTTCTCAACTGATTTCCATAATTTTGCCTTGCCGTTCCTAGCAAACTGAAAATGAAATAAATTCTTTACAAAAAGTATTAATGTTAGTACCTAAAATAAATAGAGCTATTAGTAAAAATAAAATGAAATAGAGCTATTTACCAAAAATATAAATAAATAAATATAGCTATTTCTGAAAAGTTGGACAAGGATTTATACACGCAAGTTCAAGGCAGGAAAAAAATGTCAATGCTTTATCAAACTTTGAGTGTTGTTTTAAAGTAAAGTATCAATCAATATTATCGAAACCAAACTATGAAAACTTTATATCAAATTGAAAACAGAAT